GGGAGGTAAATGCCTGTGAGCTAATGACATTGACATTGTGAGCTTCCCCAATTATCACCTCTAATATCATTAGCTCACAGACATTTACCGCCCCCCATCCCCTTTCTGTTCTGAAATTTGATTTGTCCTTTTCATATGTGTTCATTTTTTTAATTGTATCCTTTGGTATATATGGTTGTGACAATTTTCTTCCACTATTTGATCTGAGGAAGTGGGTCTGCCCCACAAAAGCTCATCACCTAATAAACCATCTTGTTAGTCTTTAAAGTGCTACACAGTCCTGTTTTTTGTTTCAGCTACACCAGACTAACACGGCTACATTTCTATCACTATTCTTAATTAGAGTTAATGAGAATCATCAGCGCATAATGAGAAAGAACAGGCCCTAAAATGACTGGAATCTTTCTGCTGCACCCAATTACATGCATGGACTTTGAGGTCAGATGGGACCATTGTGATCATCTAGTCCCAACTCCTCCATATTACAGGTCACAGAATCTCACCCACTCCTGAAACAGACCCCTCAGCAGCATTCCCTCTAATTCTCCCATCCCTGAGCCTGGATCAGATTGGCTAGCCCACTGCTAGACCAGCCTTGGCCTTCCCCAAGCTCTGATAGTGCCCCTCACTTCCAACCCCAAATATGGTCATCAGTTACACCCTGAACACATGGACAAAACTAACCAGGCAGATAGCTGGGAAAGAATTCTTTATAACAACTCAGAGCTCCCTCATCAGTAGTTGGGGTTTTTCGCTATTAGCAGTGACCAATGGGCCACATGCCATCGCTGGCAGTCCCACCATATCATCCCCTCCATAAACTTATTGAGCTCAGTCTAGAAGACTTTTAGCTTTTTTAATTAAATAAAATGGATACAAACCACTGGAAAACTTGCCAAAGTGACGGGTTCTGAATCCTTTGCAATCTGCAGATTCTATAATCTTTCATTGTCTTCTCAAATAGGTCTTTGACTTCCCTGTACTCACTGGTAGTGTTACTCAGCTCCACCAACTAAAAATGTTAAGCACAACAGAAATAAAGATATTAAAGTGTTTTTAGTTAGTCCCCCTACCACATTGCACTAGAAGGCGCTATCCTGCAACTACCCTCATAATTTCATCTGAGTGAATAGTTGATTTTTTCCGTTTGGCCCCCAAACCTTGAGGGGAAGAGAGGTTGATTTGAACCTAAGAAATGTATGGATTTTTTTTTTCAAAATTTGAATAGAAATGCTTGAGTAAAGTCAAAATGAATTTTCTACCAGCTTTCCATTTTCTTCTAATCATTTTTGGGTATGTTTCACCTGGGTGTGCAAGTGTATGTTTTAATTTGGTCAAATTTCAAAAACAAGCTCTGCTACATGCCAAATTTTCTCAAGGCCCTCCATTACCTGGTAGAAGTCTTTTCACGCTTGAAAAGTAATACTAATTTTACTGTAGCAAATTATTTTTAAAAAGTTTTGTAATCAGAGAGTATCAGACATTTTAATGAGGAAAGCTATAAGTTTCTCCCTAACATTTTTTTACATGACTTGATAATCTTCAGAATTCCTCTCACTATGAAATGTTGCAGAATGTTCATTTAAAAAAATACTGCTGGGGATAAAACCAGCATTGAGCTATGGAGTTTTACCGTCTAATTCCTTAAATGGAGTCCAGACCAAATGACCAAAAATTCATTATGATCTGATGGCTGTTCAGTCATGCACTCTTGTGGAATGGGTTGGTGGTCTCGACACACTTCCCAGTGGACATGTCTTCATCAAACATGCCAACTGTATATTTCCATCTTGCACACATCACTGGAAACACCACATGAACCTCCTCTCTTGAGTCTGAGGGTTATATTTTAAGTGGTCTACTTTTCACAAGAAACAAGTGTAGGAAATATCTCTTCTTGAGTAGAACTAACAGGTCAAATAGTACCTGGTACCCTATGTCAGGCAATGCCGATTGATCCCAGTTTGGAGGAAACAGATGAAGTGGGCTAGTAGTTTCCCTTTGGCTGTTTGCAAACAAAAGAAATGAACAACAATGAGCTTACGGAACTTCCACACTGATTATCCCACCCCAGAGCTACAATCAGCTCTGAACGCTGTCATGGAGACACAAGCCATGTCATCTTAAATTGGCAACTAATGTCACCAAGATAAAATAGGTAATCTTACATATAATAGTGACAAGCCATAATAGGAACAAAAGCTGACTTGTTGCCAGAGAGAATAAAGGCTGCTGTAAGAGTCAGGTAGCACAATTAAGAGGAGGTAGAATGAGTTAGGGTTTTTCCCAATTTAATGCTGATGTCGGTTACCTCATGCTATACTGAGGCTCTGTGCTTGCGAGAGAGGAAGAATTGCCTCTTTGAGGCACCCAGAGGTGTATGTAAGATTTCCCAGGTCACTGGGTGGGGGTTCAAGCCAGTGTTGTATTACCTTGTTGGGAGGAGACTCCTAGATACTGAACCCGGCCCTTGCTGCTATTTACTCGGCCTGGCAGAAGGGTTACACTGGTACTTCCTCAAATTAATAGATGTGCCCTAAATCAGAGTGTAATGGCTCCAACTATCTGCAAGCCAACAGTCGCCACAAAGCCCACATAGTGAAGGTACTGTGGGACCTACATTCACCATCACATTCACACTACAGACAAGCATTAACCCATTCAGCAAAATGTCTCAAGTGAACGAACCATCATATGCCAGAAGTTTCCCTATAAACTGATATCACATATGGGGCACCATTTGGCAATAAAATAAAAAAAGTAAGCAGTGAACAAACTATCCTGTACCTTCTCTCACGCTTGTCTTCTCCTCCAAAGAACACAAGCTTTGGCCACCTACAGACTTTTCTCCGAGTTTGATAGAGCAAATTTATCTGGACCATTTCTTGAAAGAAAAAATATTAATGTGGCAAGAGTTAAAGAACCTTCATCATAGGTTTTGATAAAGGAATTACACAAACTAAAAGAGGAAGATATATTGGGTCATCGAGTCCATTCTTTCTGACACTACAGGATTGTTCCTTAGGGTTTTAGCTTCCTCTTTCTTGCATTTTATCATCTTGTTCTGATCTCACAGATCGAGTATTGTTGTGCACATGTATTTGGGGAGCCCCGCACCCCTTTGAGTTCTTGTGACAATTACTTTTGAGACATTGGAAAGCCAGTCAAGCTTTTAATTTATTTCACAGTGTTTTATCTATAGCACAACCACAAAGATCTCTGTTTTCTTTCCATTTTCACCTTAGTTCAAGAGACCCTTGATGCATCCTTTATGTCTTCCCTCATTGTAATTAGTCTGCAAGAATATTCACTGGCCTTTGCATCTTCACCACATTTTAAAGTTCAGTTCTCTTCTTTTGCTTTCCCCTTTGGGCTCGCATGAGAGTGGATGTCCCAGGCTTTGTCTACACTGCAGGGTTTTTGCACAAGAAGCTTTTTGCGGAAGAGATCTTCCGCAAAAACTTCTTGTGCAAAAGTGCATCCACACCTCAAAAGCGCATCGCAAAAGCGATGTGCTTTTGCACAAGAGCGCATCCACACAGTATAGAAGCTCTTGCGCAAGAAACTTCTCATTGCCATTCACAGAATGGCGATCAGAGAACCTGTGCTTTTTGCGATGGGCTCTTTTTACACAAGAAACCTCTGTGGAGCATCCACACAACTTTTTGCGCAAGAACTCTTGCGCAAAAAGGAGTTATTCCTCGTGGGGAGAGGAATAACTCTACCAGTAAAAGCCCTCTGTCCTGTCGATTTACTGTATTTTTTTTTTTTTTTTTTTTGCACAAAAATGCACTTGAGGTATGGATGCTCTGTGGGTTTTCACGCAAAACCAGCTGTTTTTGTGCAAAAACCCGTAGTGTAGACATAGTCCCAGAGTTCATCGAGTTCTCACTAATCTACTTATCATTTTAGAGCATCTGCCTTTAACATAGCTTCCTTCAGACAAACATATTATAACGTGTTAAACTTTAAGTAAGCAGGCACGTTACCTTGAAAGTTTATCTCATACTGCTGAGAACCAGCTTGAAACAACACAGTGCCTTTTTGGTCTGCTAGAAATGCTGCCTCCAGGTCCGCAGAAGTGACTGTGGCAGCATAATAGTTTGCATGCTACAGAATGAAAGCACAGGAAAATTAAACTCATTACAAATGGACCTTTGGCTTCACTCGCATTTTATGCAACTACACAGAATTTAGTCTACCATCAGTTCAAGTTTGTATTAAGTCAAGTGTTAAATGAGGTCAGTTTGGCATGCTTCTTCCTGCCACTGAGCAAAGCTAAATACATTCCATCCAATGCCTGTTAGTCTGGTTTAAAGATGTACTGGTGCGCAGGAGCTAGAAAGCATTTACTGAAGAGGAGCCAAATAGAACTCACTCAAATGGACATTGGCTGCAGCTCGGTGACAGATTTTGATTGATGGGGCTTACAAATGCCAACAGTATTCCTGTGAAAACAGCATTTAACTCCCCCTTTCTTTGGTCCTCTCACAGAGTTCCAAGAGGAGTGGCTATAAGTCTGTCACAGATTAGTAGATTTAGCACAGCCACACATCCACCTTGTTCAGAAGAGACTGAAAGCACTTGACAGAAAAAAGGGCAGTAGGGTTACAAACCCCAGTATTTCCATTATGCTGTAGCGCAAAGCAAAAGTGAAAGCATACAAGATGGCAGACTCTTTTCTGAAGGCAGTAACTGGAAATAGGACTGTGTACTAGAAAATACTAGAGCAAATCAAGATATAGGTTTCTGCCTTCTGGAAAATTTTCCTGAAAATGATTTGTTGGTTTTCATCAATTTTCTGCAGAAGATTTCGACTTTTCAGCAAAATATCAAACCCCAAAATACTCTGATTTATAAAGATGTTGCTGTGACTTATGGGGGTTGTAGTTTGTGCGCCTTGTACTCTCATTGTTGTTCTACTCGCCAGACTACATCATCAGTAATGGCCCAACTTCTCTTGTTTTCGTGGGGAGGAGGGAGGGCATCACAGGAGATGAAGTACAGCCAGAAAGCCCAGCCTACAGATAAGAATGGGATCACTCAAACTACAGCTTCCACTGGGCCATTTTGAATTGAAGTGCAGTACTGTAGTTTGTTTATCAGGTATTCAGTTTTCCATGCAATATCAACATTTTCCTTGGAAAGTCGATACCTTTCATGGCACAATTTAGTTAGTTAAAAAACAATTTTTGACCAAAATTACATGACCAGCCCTAGAAAAATGCACCAATTTGTAGAGCTATTCTTCACAAGCTTCTATGGCAGAGGTGGGCAACAAAACAGCGACAATTCCCCAGGGTTAACCCCTGGTGGGCTGCTGCCACTATATTTACCTGCACCTCCACACCTATGGGCGACTGCAGTTCCCGTCGACCAAGCATGGTGATCTGCAGCCTATGGGAGCTGTGATCCCCCCCTACCTGTGGAGGCACAGGTAAAAATGGTGGTGTGGGGGACCACCATGGGCTAACCCTGGCAGACTGGATTTGACCTGTGGACTGGTATTCACCCACCCCTGTTCTATGGAGTATTAATACAATACTGAGGAACAACTGGTACACAGAGGCACACATGAGAATACAATAATGCACATGTGCACCTAGCGAGTGAAAGAACATCTGTGTGACATCTAGAATAGCTCAAAGGTGGCTGTCTCAGAGGGCCAGGCATCAGTCAAAATAAGCTCACCTGCTTCCCATATTCAATCCACTGCCCGGATCCATCCAACCAGTACCAGATGTGTTCCATTCTGACAATAGAGTTCAAACGCATAACAGATGCTGTGGTGAGATGACAAAGTGGAACAAAAGAGCGGATCAGCTTCAGGTAACTTCAGGAACTCTAGGACTGAGAGAGAAATCCAGACGTAATCCAAGCCTTAACAGGACTTGTTCAGGTGGTATCTTCTCATCTTTCAGCATCAGAACACTGGCTGAATTTAAGGGAAAGGGCTAGTTTCTGATTTTGGAGAGGGCTTGTACATATATGGCATGATGCACCAAGATGGAGGAAAAGTCTGTGGCCAGCAGGAGGCAAGGCAGCTCAGAACTCCTGCCTGCAGCAAATGCTAGGGGATTTAGCTTTCTCCCACGCCAGGATAGAAATTTGGACATTAAGGCTGCATGTCCCGCCCACTCCTCCTCTCACAATGAATCAGTAGCCAGCAACAAACATAGTAGGGTATTAGCAGCTGCTGGGGGAGTGCAGGGGAAAATGTGTCTTTCTGGCATGATACCTCCAGTGGCTGCCTGATCTTCCACACGTAGTCAGGTAAGAAAGAGCAAGGCTCATTGCATGTGTGGCAAGAGCTCTTTTGACAGCAATAGCAGAATCTGGGGAGTGATTAATAATAATAAAGGAAGATGGAGCTCTGCAGGATTACATGCAGGTTGCAGACTTTTTTGGGGGGGTGTCCTGCATGAGTGTGCTAGCCCACAGTATATCCACGCAATTTAATGAGCATGCTGTGACGGGGTGGAGCAACCCCGCCACTCGAGCGAGGCAGATGGGGCCGCCGCGGAGACGGCAATCAGCGCGGCAGGGGCGGGCGC